AATGATCAAAATATAACGTTGTAAAATATAGATAATAAGATAGGTTTGTTAATTAAGCTTTCAAATGCTTGAAAAAGTAGATTACCATAAATGGATCGTTTTGAGTCTATTTCGTTGACATAAAGATATATTACAAGTTTTTGATTTTTTAAAAATTTCATATAATATTAATACATTTTATACTAAATTATTAGACGTCGTCGGTGATATATACTATTTATCATATCTATACGCGACATTTATTAATCTTTTTTTGCTAAGACATTGAGAAGCCATATGTATTTTTTTTATCTAGAAAGACATGATTTTATCGAATGGCTCGAAGAAAGAGTATTGCTTTAGCACATTTGACGCAACAGCTCTTTCTTTTAGTGATATGATTCACGAGGTCTCTCACGCGATTTTACAAACCTTACAAGCATTTATCTTTCTGCCGAGTAGTTCAGTAGTTACACGTGACGCAGATGGGAGAGAAAAGTTCCATTCTCTCATTACATGGATTCAAGATCCAATATTTCCGCTTGGGTCATAAAACAACGAACAATGACAAACCGAAAAATTTCAAATAATATTACGAATTAAATTTTTCCTATCGTCGCTTTGACCTTTCACATTCGAAAATATTCTTATCGTAATATTGATAAACAATTGCGTCAATTTCTATCTCGTAGTCATCTCAAGGCCATCTGTGTGAATCTATTTCAGTTAAATTAATTTTGTTTTACAAACGTTCCAATCTGTGTATAATGGTTTTCTGATTAAGAGTGATTAATTGCTCTTGTGATAAAGAGAGATCATAATATTTATAATTCTTTGTAATTAAAAGGAATGTATTTCAGAGAATTCTACGTTTCTAACGATATTACAACTGCTCTTTTGGTAGAAAAGGAATGGGTAGAGGAAATCAGTTCTTAAGTAAGAAACATCAAGTTGGAGCTGTGCACTCCTCTCGCAATTAGTGATTTACGTAATTTCGCGCACGACCTGCGCAGAGCAACTTGCGAGTTGTAGACTGCGTTCCTGAAGAGGAACGCGCTCGCTCGTCTCGATATCTCACCCCGGTTCTCCTCTCGCCGCGCAGATTAGAGGCATGATGGAGATAAGCGCGAGCCAAGTCATGGAGGCTCACGCACATTGGCTCGGTCTTCGTACACCGATATCTCGCGTTGATGCACCGATTGCATTGTTTCCGTTATCGCGTCCGATTGGATTGGCAGCCGCGCAACCACAGCCTCACCCGTTAGACTCTCCAGGCACGCATCGAGCACTTAAATTCGCGTAATACGGCAGCACATGCATGCACATAAGAATATCGCACGTGCTGTGAAGAACGCGCTCTCTCTCCTCTCTCCTCTCTCTCTCTCCTCTCTCTCTCTCTCTCTCTCTCTCTCCCCTCCCCCCCCCTCTCTCCTCTCTCCCTCTCTCTCTCTCATGTTTGCTTTGTTTCTTGCAATTTCCTGTATGAATTCGCCTGTAAATTTCCGTGATATTTAATTTTGCAAATAATCTCAATCTTTTTTCTTTTAGAGAGATTTAAATATGTATGCATGTATAATTTGTATCATAGCTGTCTCATACGCAAGAGTTCAAATCTCACATAAGCAAATATAAGCGATATAGAATGCATACTAGTGAATTCCTGTTATGCAAATGCATGATTTACTACCGATGTTTATCGCTGCGAGTCTGGTAACAGGGAATAAAACGCTCACTATTAAAAGGAAAGGAAAATATGGACTGAATGACACACACATTTCCATACCTGCACGCTGCCGATTCTCTGCTGCTAATGATGATTAACCAGTAAATGTCATTTATCCAATAAGAAAGTAATAAAACGTTAATAAAACATTAATGATTTATTTCTTAATTATTGGAGAAGAGAGTACAATACATAAATGAATGTATATTTTCTAATTACTAGTTGCAAAGAGAGAATTTTTTTTATTTGTAATTTATTATAAAATGATACGATAACAAATCTGAACATATTGATTAATGACTGTTTTAATGAAAAATAGCTCAGTATTAATGTTATAGTAAAACGTGTATGAGTTTTAGCGAATATAATAAACAGTTTTTCGCTTTGTGTCGCAATGACTTGGTGCCAATGCACCTGAGCAGATTGAGCAATCGTTATCGTGTATACGTACAACAACGAAAAGAATGGAAGCTGAAGCACAGTTTCACAGATCGCTACTTTAACGTCAGTAGGACAATTGATCTTTTACAATTATATATAGCTTCATGATATCTTGAGATTGTCATCATGTAATAAAGCAGAGAGTTTAGAATCTTTTATAAAAGTTTCTACGACATTTTTATAAATGCCGTAACTCTAAAACTGACAAGTTTAAATTAAAGAATTAAAATATTTGAAGAAATGCGCGCATTGTTGTGATATAAAAGACGAGTCATAAGTTATAAAATTGTATGAGCGTATTTCTAAATAAGAAGAAAGAACAAAAATGTTTCCATAAACATAGGCACGTGTTCAAGCACGAAGAATAATGGAAAAATAACGAAAAATAATATATATAGTAAATAATAGATATTTTGAACATTTCTTACTGGGTTGTAAACAAAAAAATACTCATCTAAGAATTTTTTAAAAAGTCATTATTTGATACTATACAAATAGTATATTTGTATCCTTTATTTCGACAACAAAGCATTTACGATTTAATATTTATATGAACATTTTTTCCTTCTTATTTAGAGACATGCTCACAAAATTTTAAAACATATTTGGTGGTGTTAATCGCGTATTGCAGGATGGTAGGATAGGCAGGCACAAAAATAATCACGAACCAGAAGTATATTCACGAAATCGATCTCTTTATTCACGAGCGCATCTTACTTTTAATGTGTTACTCTCTGTCAACTCTCCTCAAATTCTCCGTTTATGTAGCAGATATCGTTTAACTGACAAAATCTATGTATTACGTAATAATGATACAATTATAGTATATAGATTTTTAAATATCCACGATACCGAGAAATAATGCTTGAGAAATGTCAAAAGAAATTTATGAGTTTAAATGGCCTGCTTATTGTCTTCGCTTCGCGACGAGCGATTTGCGTGTGCAGTGTCTGTATGTGAAAAGTCTGCAAGGTTTGCATTTTTTTTCTCTTTAGAGCTGTTGCGTATTTGGCTATCGAAGTCGTGGCAATATAATCGTCACCATATTTACGATTTATTATATTAATATGTATTAATTAGTAATATATGTAAAATTTTATTTAAAGAAAAATTAAGAATACATTTTTTTGGAGGATCCACCAAGTCTTACAGTTATAATCGTGATAATAACATTACCCGTTTTTATTACGGTCACCGCATACGCGCTCAACGGACCTTGAATCGAAGAATGACTGTTGCAATGCGCCAATCAACGCCAATAAATGTCACCGGCTGGTGCAACGCAATTAGGAAGGGTGCAGTGGCACGATAAAAAAAATGACTCCGTTGGAATGCAACATTCTGAGCGTATAATATTATGAAGATCAAATCGCGACGATGCCGATCTCCGCTTTCCCTTGCCATACTTAATGATTTCTTTGTACCTAAGCTACTCGACTTCTAAGCGGTTTAAGTCCAAGTCCTCCAATCACTGCCATTATACGTATCTTGAAAAGCGTTACGAATACAATAACGAGCCGTGTAGCATTTAGAGACTCCCGGAATACCTCTCAGTTCGTTCTCCAACCGGAAATACAAAAGCACACTAAAAAGATTCTGGCGTTGCTCCAACATCGTCCGAATCGATGTGGTTCTCCGATTTTGCTTGCTGAACAGGCAAACAGTATAGACAAAAGTTTCGGCGATTATTCCTTCAGCACATCTCGTACGGACCGTTGACTTTCGTAGGCAAGAATACTGTGATTTGAGGTAGAACATCGGCAAAGGGAAGTGTGTCACAAAATGAGAAATCTGTATATCATATATCCCCACAGAATCAGAATAACGATCCTGGCAAAACAACGCGCTACTTTTGTCAAACACTATTATTATTCGTGAATCTTTTAGCGATCGCGATACCTCACGGCTACAGTTTCTATGTCCCACATAAAGTGTTTCTTCAGCTCTCTTCCCCGATTGTAGATTAAAGATAACTTAAACGATACATTAGAACTACTTTAGCTCCACTTCAATACCCAGCAAACACCAAGTTACATGTACCTAACGTACATGTTGTAATTTCCCACTCAACAATATAACTGTCATATAATATGTGTTATGTTATAGTTATATTATTGAGTAGGAAATTACAACTAACGTGTAACTTGGTGTTTGCTGGGCAGACATGCTCTCGACTTTATTGACAAGCTATGTAAAATAGATTTTCAACATTTCTGGATTTTATGCATGCTTATTATTCGTCATCATATGCATTATGAAGATATTTTTTTATGGAAGTAAATTAAGTATATTAAAGAAACTTGCATTCCAACTTATTGATATATATAGGATATCGGTTTTTTGAGCTTAAAACTGACATCATGCATCGCGATTACGTTAGACTGAACTATGATGATTGAGGGTTAAGGATATGTAAAAAAATCGCAAGTCGATACGCAGAGATGAAGGTACAAGTCGAAATCAAGTAAAAAAACAAGAACAATCTTCAAACGTGACTTCGAAACGAGTATCATGTTTGAACAGTAATTCGGTTTAAGAGACCTTCAGGCGCATAACACTCGACCGGGAGAGATGCTCAATTTCGCGATGGTGGCTAATTATAAAGTGCACCCGTACTCCAAAAGCCTGTCTCCATGATACACACGTGTTCTTGATGTCACGCAATAAAGAAGAAAAAGGAAAGGAAGTTTCAAAGAGTCGTTCGCAGTTCTCGCAACGACGAGAAAATTACTATTATTTGCGAAAAGCTAGCCCCATATATTTTTATCTTTACAAATAAACTTCTCTACCGTCTTTTTCTCTTCAATTCCTTTCTCTATTGAGTGTTTTATTTTTATTATTGTTATATTATCATAATATTAAACACCAAATTTATCTCTGTCGACTTACATATTTGTCCTCTCTATTGAAACTATCTGTATTAAGAAATATCTTAGTAAATAAATATTAAATTCGAAGAACTGCTACTAACCGGATTTATAATTGCAGGTATAAAGGAGGTGATGTAAACGTCGTGGAGAAAGTACGTGTTGAATATGCGAACAAAATTATATGAAATATATAAATGACTGCATGTTATGAATCTCCAGAGGTGATCATTGTCTTGAGCAAGGAAGAGATTCATAAAAGATATCAAGATACCGCAATGATCATATTTAAAGTAAAAAAAATCGAATAAATTTAAATTAAATAAGTTTCTAATCGAGAATTTTTAATTGCAGGAGCAACAAAGCAGAGAGAAGGAAATTGTGAGCTACCTTAGCTTTGGAAACAGTCGTAGAACAATGGAATATAGTAACAACGGAAATCACCCCGTTATCATACGTAAATCTACAGAATCTACAATTACGCGAAATATTCATTTGTCCTCGCGGACATCAATAGAATATCATAAACCAGATGGAAAATGTGCGATAACTTAACGAGTAGAAAATTTTATAACTATTTGTGCAATAAACATAGTTTTCTCTAACATTACAGTAGCGATTCAATATATCGGTAAATGTATCTTTTTCTCTTTGCATTACAGCCCTTATTGAGCAATAAATTGATTTTATTAAAGATGCAATTTTTATAAAATAAATATACCATAAAACAATATAAATAATGTTAAAACAGAATAATCACAGAAAAATTATTTCATCATTGATAATGAAATTATCTGTTTCTCTATAAACATTATGATGTGACTACAATTAAATGTAGAAAGTTATCTGGATAACTTAAATGTTCTGACATCCACTGAAGCGGTGTCTCTGATGGTGGTATAATGCCATGGGTACGTACAGTAACTGTAAAATAAAACGCTTAATAAGTATCAATTTAAATAAATGAAAGCATGTACATAATAATTACAACAGACATATTGCAACTGTCTGGAATTGATCTGGTTTTTCTTAAGGGATGCTGGAGCCGCCGAACATAAATCTTTCTTATGTTTTCGTTCCTGTCTAATTTCTTCGTAGTAATTTTACAGAATAAAAATTCCTTTTCCATGATTTAAATATTTATGCTAATGTATTTACCGCTGGTCTATATTGAGTCCAAGGCTGGAAAAAGAATAAAATTACAGATTTCTTTATCCATTTAACCTCAATATGGCGATCAACATTGAAAATAAAAATGGATAAAGAAATCTGTAATTTCGTATTTTTTTTCAGCTTTGGACATAATATAGACCAGGGGTAGATACATTAGCATAAATATTTAAATCATGGAGAAAGAATTTTTATTCTGTAAAATTACTACAAAGAAATTAGACAAAAACGAAAATGTTTAAAACACTAATTTTATCGATAATACAGGCGGCTCCAGCATCCCCTTAAAATATTTAATAAAACAAAAATAAGATAAACATATTTTTTTATACAGACAGTTATGATATATCCCTTGTTAGAGAACCTCATAAAACAGTACCATTTTCCTGATCCGGAAATACTTCATTTAACAAATGCTTCAAAGTCTTTCTTTGGCCTTCTTCATTCATTGGTTTTACAAGTTTTTGTATATATTTATCTTCACTTGTATAACAACGGAAAGGTATATATTTAAATCCCTCTTCAATACTGGCTTCCATAAGCCTACCATTTACAGACCAGAACTGATCAAATTTATCATTCATAATGCCGTTCCATAGTTGGGTATGGTCCTTTTTCTGCATACTAGAAACGATTTGACCTCTATGTTTCAAAACATCAGCTTCTTTTATACAAGAGAGAAAATGAGCTTCTACGATTTCCCTAAAATTACATTATAATGTTATATTTATATTGTCTACTTGTCAAATAAGCAAACATATCGTTGTGCCACACTAATACTACATAAAAACTTTTCTTATAAGTAAAATGTTAGCAGAATATTGACAGATTGGCAGCAGACTATATAAACTTTGGTTATACAAAAAGTCCAACAAATTTTATATGCAACAGACAGTACCTAGCAACAGTCTTGAAGATATTTAGTAACAATGCAGATTCTTGATTTCTTCTGCCAATCTGCCATCAGATAGTATCAGGTTTTGTTTAGTTGTTTTTGTAGTCTGGCTATCTCAGTTATTACATACTTGTTTTGACAGTGCATTAGAACATTCTCTGGAAACTTATCAAAGTGGACGACAATGTTCCAAGGTAACTGAATATCATTGAAATAAATATCCAGTAAAACACCAATTGGATAATGCCATTTTAATGGCATTCCATTGAATTCCAGCCACATCTCATGCTCTTGTTTACTGTCACTTTGTATATGACGTATGAAATGTTTTCGAACCTAAAACAATATTCAATATCACAGATAAAATTATTCAATCAATTATTCATACATTCATAATGTTATATGCAAATAAATAATAAAATTTTGACATAAGAAAATATGTTATAAGCTTGTTACCTTTTCTGTACACAGTGGAAAATAACTTAATCTAGGTACCATCAAGTAAAATGGATCTGGGCCTTGTAAATCGCAAATTTCCTCAGAGTTGAGAGTAAAACAGACTGGGATCTTTCCGTCCCAGATTTCTCGAAGTACCTCCCGATCATTTGCCATTGAGTTAAAAATATTGCACTCAATCTAACACATTTGTAATCAAATTACGACTTGATGACAAACACAAACAGTCGGAACAATTAATGTTGGGTTATGTTTTTGTCATAAAACATAAAATTAAAGAGAGTATTCTCCTGGTGGAAAAAATTCAGATATGTCTTGCGCATACATTTCGAACGGCCAATAAGAACATGACACCATAGGTCTGTTCTTTATTGCTGAACTTTTGCACTAGTTCATCTTTCTTCCTTTTCTCTCCAGGAGAAGGGAAAAGGAAAAAAGATGAACTGGTGCAAAAGTTCAGCAATAAAGAACAAATCTACCACTGACAAGATAGCAGACAAACTGAATATTTTTGATTTATTATTTATGTGTATATAATTTGGGAATCGTTTGGGGAAATTTGGGAAAAGCATTTAAACATTTGGGTAATAGTATTTTTTTTGTTATTAACAAATTTTCTCATGCAACAAGTTAGCAGACAGCGATTTTATTTTATGAATTTTATGAATGGAATTGATCGGAAATCATTTGGGGAATGCTGCTATTAAATGATATAATTATTTGTTTATGAATACATTAATTGAAATTATATTTGTATTTTCATATTAAAAAAAATAGTTAAAAACAGCTTTATTATATTATTGTTCTATTCTTATGCTTCTTTTGATTCTTACTAATTGAATGATACCGCGTCCAAGATATTAATTTGTTGAAACCAATAGACTGGATGACAACCTTGGCCAGACTCTTAGTATAGGGACTCTAGCCAATGCTAGAGACCTAGAAAACAGAGATGCGTCATTGAAGGGTATGGTTTGATTGGCTGTCTAAATCACGTGATCAGAGAGCCATTTTAATTCACTATTGCATCTAATAGATATATAGTTTTATAACGTATGTACATATATATAGAGAAAAATTTAGACAATACAGTGTCGAACTGCAATAAAAAACTATTATTATGGTGTAAGTATTCTTATTTGTGTGAATATTTAATATCGGACTTAACTTAACCTAATCTAATCTTTCTACCTTTTGCATCAACTGTCATCAGCTTATTAGTCAAGAGCACTTATATTGAATTCAAATGGCCGTGGTTACCTAATCCAACCGACGCAATGTAAATGGCGGTGGTTACCTAACCCAACCGACGCAATGTCGCATCTCTGTTTTCTAGGCCTCTAGCCAATGCTAATTCTGTCCTTATTTATGTTTAGTTTGTTATAACGTGCAGGCGTCAATTTGTTGCGCGATAAGTGCTACATGTGATATTTTGGAGATTATTATGATTCCAGTAATTAGTGATTCCAGTAATTTCAATGAATTAAAGATTGATTTTGCTCACTATTATGCACAGATGTCTATACTATACTTATATACTAGATCGCTAACTTCGTCAAAAACAGTCGAAAGGACTGCAGCCGGCCGGATCTCCGGTTTCGGCCATGATGGAAACAAAAAGATGGCGACGGTGCGTGTGCGTAGTGCGTATATGAGTATCCTGCGTGTGTGTTAGTGCGTATGTGTGACATCAGCCGGCAGCCAGAAATACCGACGGCACAGCCAAATTTTTTAAACGCACATCACTTGCGCCTGATCTTTCCAAAAAATCTGTATGTATACAAAATGGGCACTACAGATTAAATCATTCTTCTTTGGAACAAAGTCTCCTCCGATGGCCACGTGTGTCGATTTTTCTACATATATTAGTAAAAGAAAGTAAAAATGCCGAAAAATTGTTGTATTTCTAAATGCAAAAATACAAGAAAACAAGGTATTCATTTCTTTAGGTAAGTAGAAAGTATTTATATGTAATAAATATAAAAATATTCGAGGTTCATGATATGAGAAGGTTATGTTTCAATTAAGCATTGTTAATTTTTCAGATTACCATTTACGCGTCCAGATATATTACAAATTTGGATCAATGCCATCGGAGGAGACTTTGTTCCAAAGAAGAATGACACCGGGAATACACGCGTCACGTGTGGCTGCCGGCCTTAGAACATATAGTACTGGAAGGAGCATAGGCATATAGTCCCTGTACATTCAGTTGAAGCTGAGAAGATTGACAAGGATGGAGAGATTAAGATCGTAGATTGTAATGCGCATACTCCATACGCATGTGCGGTGAATTATCCACCGTGGATGCTAGACTAGAAAGCACGTTAATTATTTGCGAACTGTGTTTGGTTCTGTTTGGTTCTATGAAAATTATAAGTGATTTGTGGCAATGTATTGCTATATTTGCAAAGAAAAAAATCAGGCGTCTTCATATCACTTGTAAGTTTAATTATTTGTGAGTATAGTATTAATATACGGAATTTATAATGTTAGTTTTGAGGTTAGTTTTCGTAATTACTCTTTAATTATTGTAAATAAGTCATAATAAGTATGTCAATACTTCGCATTCGAGTCCATCTTCGAAATGAAGTATTTGTACTTTTGACTTAATTATGTGTTATTATTATAGGTTTCCAAATATTTACATACAACAGTGCAGTGCAAGAAAGTTAATTCCAGTATAATTAATCACTTGTATAAATGAACAAATAAATAAAACATAAATTAAAGGCTATTAAGAGTCAAACGCAGTTAACAATGCGAAAAAAATTTTTTAATAATCTTACAAATTAACATTAAGATGCCCCGTCGAACGTTTCGGTCTGCAATTTAGACCATCTTCAGCGACGAAATAATAATAAATCACTACTCCATTTACTCCGAGTTAGAATGCAAGTATTCTTGTTGAACGACAAAATGTTCCTGTGCACCAACTAGAGGTAAAAATATCGAAGATAATGGATGTGGAGTTGTGTAATGAAATTCCGAAAAATCAGAAATATGTCTGTGAAAAAGACCGTTAACAACACAAATTCTATTAGAGTCAAATTATTACAAAACAAAAAATTA